AATTTGGTAAAGTAGCAGGATACAAAGTCAACACACAAAAATCAGTTGCATTTCAATACTCTAACAAAGAACAATCTCAAAGGGAAATTACAAAAATAATTCCATTTACAATAGCATCAAATATACATAGGAATTAATTTAACCAAGGTGGTGAAAGGCTTGTACAATGAAAATTACAAAACATTGCTGAAAGAAATCAAAGAAGACAAAAATAAATGGAAACACATCCCATGTTCATGGATTGGATGACTTAATATAGTTAAAATGTCAGTACTACTCAAACCAATCTACAGATTCAGTGCAATTCCTATCAAAATCCCAAAGATATTTTTTGCAGAAATAGAAGAACCCATCCTAAAATTCATATGGTATCTCAGGGGATTCTGAAAAGCCAAAAAAATCTTGAAAAAGAAGAAGAAAACTAGAGGACTCACACTTTCTGATTTTAAAACTTACTACAAAGCTACTAATAAAAGCAGTGTGGTACTGGCAAAAAGGCAGACATATAGATCAGTGGAATAGAATAGAGAGCTCAGAGATAAACCCTCGAATATATGGTCAAATAATTTTTGACAAGGGTGCCAAGCCCATTCAATGGGGACGTAAAGTCTTCTCAACAAATGGTACTGAGAAAACTGGATATATACATATAGAAGAATGAAGTTGGACCCTTAGCTAACACTATGTACAAAAATTAACTCAAAATGCATCAAAGACCTAAATGCAAGACCTAAAACAATAAATTTCTCTAAAGAAAACATAGGGCAAAAGTTTTACAACATTGGATTTGGCAGTGGTTTCTTGGATATGACACCAAAAGCACAGGTAACAAAAGAAAAAATAGGCAAATTAGACTTCATGACAATTAAAAAAATTTGTACATCAAAAGATAGTATCAACAGAGTAAGAAGGCAACCCATAAAACAGGAGAAAATACTTGCAAATCCTATATCTGATAAGGGATTAATATCCAGGATATATAGAAAACTCCTAAAACTCAACAATAACAAAAGAACCCAAATAAAAAATGGGCAAAAGACTTGAATAGACATTTCTCCAAAAAAGATATACAAAAGAATAATAAGCACAAGAAGGATATTTAACATGACAATCATTAGGGAAATGAAAATCAAAACTACAATGAGGTACTACTTCACACCTATTAGTATGGCTATTACCAAAAAAATAGAAAACAACAAGTATTTGCAGGATGTGGAGAAACTGGAACCCTTGTGCACTGTTAGTGGGAATGTAAAATGGTACAGCCGCTGTGGAAAACAGTATGGCAGTTCCTCAAAAAATTAAAAATAGAATTATCATATGAGCCCGCAAATGTACTTTTGGGTATATCCCCACAAGAATTGTAAGTAGGGTTGCAAAAAGATATTTGTATACCCATGTTCATAGCAGAATTATTCACAATAGCTAAAGCGTGAAGGCAATCCAAGTGTCCATCAACAGATGAATGGATAAGCAAAATGTTGTATAAACATACGATGGAATATTCTGCAATATGCTACAACATGAATAAACCTTGAGGACATTATGCTAAGTGACATAAACCAGTCACAAAAAGATAAATACTGTATGATTCCACTTATTTGTGGTACTTAATCAAATTCATAGAGACAGAAAGTAGAATGGTGGTTGACAGGGGCTGGGGGGAGGGGGAAATGGGGAGTTATTGTTTAATGGGTATAGAGTTTCAGTTTAACAAGATGAAAATAGTTATGGTGATGGATGGTGGTGATGCTTACACATTATAAATGTGTTTAATACCACTGAAATGTACACTTAAAAATGGTTAAGATGGTAAACTTTGTTATATTATAGTGCAATAAAAAAAAGAAAAACAAATGACATGCAGGTGACAACTCTGACCTACCTGCATTTTAATTCATGTGTGTCAGTCTCTGAGGTCCTGAGGAGAGTGAACTTGTAGGGAGGCCCTCAGACTTGAGGCCAGTCCTGGGCCACATTAATTCACTTATAAATATCACTCATGAGGCTTTGTTGGAGATAACCTTACAGATCATTGCCCTTAGTGATGCTTGGCATCATTACTGATTTAAGCTTATCTTTCTTTTTGAAATAGCTGTGCTTAGTAACTCAGGAAGTACTAACAAATTTTTCCAGTTATTAAAGGTTGCACTTACCAAATATAGTTATCATCTGCATGTGCCACTAAGGAGATTAGCCAGGCGAGGCTAATCTCAGGCCAGGACTTCCAAACTGTTCAATCAGGTCCTTTCCTGCAATTTGATTTTATGGGCTTGGGAAATTCTATTGACAGTGTGCTAATGGGCCCAGCACTAACTGGACAAAAGTACTACAGAATTCAAGGAGGGATCTTAATAAATCTTAGCAATAAATTTATTGTCTTTCTACATGCCAGGGATTATGCTGTTATACATATGTTGTTTCATTCCATTCTCATCACGGCTCCTCAAAGCGTGGTTATGGGTTATCAGCTCCATCTTACAGATAAGTGAACATAGCTTAAAAAGTTTTCAAAGCATAGTTAGTAACTTGATGAGCTGGGATGTGAACCTGAGTCTGCCTGAGTCCAGTGATTGAGCTCTTAAGCACTGCATGAAATTGACTTCTTCTGATTTGATCATGCATCAACTAGTTGGTATAGACCAACTGGTTTGGTTAGTAGCCAAAATCCCTCTCCTCTAAGTCTGACTTATGTCATGATAATAATGCCGACGGGTCATTAAAATACACCTTTGGGTATCATTCATTATTTAATTAAGGTCTTTTGAGTACCTTCTATATATACTAGCTACTATGTAGAGTCTAAGGAATGCAGATGAAAAGACACAGTCCCTTCTCCTCAGAATCTTGCAGTTTGGTGGGAAACAGGCAGATAGCCACATATACACAATACAAATGATCAATGCTATAATAAGAGGCCAGAATCTGAGGAATCAAACAGGGGTGTCACCGAAATGCGATGTGATCCAACCCTTGGAGACTAGAGATTTTCCAGGCAGATATGCAGAAAAAGAGAAAGAAAAGTGTAGCTCTCTGGCTAGAGGAAATAGTGTGCAAAAATCCAGGAGACCTCTGGTAGTACCTCAATATTAAGGCAATGCCAATTAAGTGGGGAGGGGAGGGACAGTATGTCAAGAAACTAAGCTGAAGACATCTAGGCAAGGGGCTAGACCACTTCTTTATTCTACTCAGAGTTCTTTTGAGCGGGAATGGAAACCAAGTCATCCTAGCTGCAGTAATGAAGTTTGACCTTTTAGGCTTGAGTGTCTATAGTCTCTGTATCTCTTAATTCATGCTCTCAAGACAGAGAATCTGATCAGTCACTGGCTAACCGCCTAAGTCAGGTATCTGTCCCTCCTCTTTCCAGTAGGATGCCCCACGTACATGTGTGCATGCACGGATGGATGGGGGGCAGGTTGCACTGGAGTTTTCAAGGTTGGGATCCCATGGTAGGGAGAGCCTTCCTAAGAAGAATGGATGGGAAAGTTCCCCTAGGAAGCCTGTGAGTGAGAAAGGCAATAAAGTCTATCTAGCACAACATTGTGGGCCAGGAAGAAACGTCTAGATTCTTTAGTAACATTCACAGAAAGCAAGAGGAAACTCATCCACTAAAACCACAAAGTAACTATTTTAACATTTAAGACAACTCTCATTCCTGACTCCAAAACATAACAACCATAAGGCTGAAATAATTAGGATACTTTTGCACTGCTACTGATTTTGAACTATTTAAAAATTAGTATGGGGCCTGGGCCCGTGGCTGAGTGGTTATAGTTCCATGCACTCTGCTTTGGCAGCCTGGGTTTGCAGGTTCAGTTTCTGGGTGTGGACCTATTCCACTCACCAGCCATGCAGTGGCTGTGTCCCACATACAAAAAAATAGAGGAAGATTGGCACAGATGTTAACTCAGGGCTAATCCTCCTCAAGTAGAAAAAGAGGAGGATTGGCAGAGGACGTTAGCTCAGGGAGAATCTGCCTTGGCAAAAAAACTCCCCCCCCAAATTAGTATGTATAAGAATCATCTCACAAATAAAATACTAGCATAAACATCTTCTCCGTAACTGTAGCAGAGAAGGCTGGCTATACCAGCAGAGTCACTAGGCAGGAAGAGGCTGTCTCTCTGAGTAACTGCATGGAACAGAATACACCTCACCCTCATTCACAGTGGACAGTGATGTAAGTGAGAAATTCACCTATATTTTTCGGGCTACTAAGAGTAAGAGCTGGTTCGTTAAGGCAACTGGTGTTGCTTACTTAGAAAATGCAAGTGGAAATGATGTGCCCCCTTTCTGTGCGTGGCCTGTATGTGGCCCTCCCCCACTCTGGATAGAATGGAGTCTACCTACTCTGTAAGCCTGGATCCCTGAGCGACTGTGTGGAAAAGATTCCTGCTGATCTCTTCATAGCACAGTACTGTTATGTGAGCAAGAAATGAATTTCTCTCATGTTTAAGTAATCACACATTTTGGGGTTTATTGTTACAGCTGTTAGCCCACCCGAAATAGCAACCAACCATTCTGGATATGTGAGAATTTATCATACACTATCCTTTCTTTTATTTCTGCCCTAAAGTAATAAAGGAATAAAGAAATGATGCTCACAAAGAGATGTGAAAAAAGTTTACAGTGAGTTTTCAAAAACATTTTTATGTAAACATTTTTCTTTAATGAACTAAAGTAAGCTTTTCGACAATGCTCTCAAATTCTGTTTGTGAAAAAGTGTGAAAAGAATTGTCATTTTTTCTGTGTTCGCCATAGGATAAAAATCAGTAAATGCAGTAGCAATTTTTATTGCTCTGATATTTTGTAGTTTCATATATTTTAATAAATTTATCCAATTTAAAATTTCATGAAAGAAGCTTTTCCTTCTTAGATATTTGTAGACTTATTGGAGTTGAAGACAGTTCCACTTACATAAATTTATTGCTTAATAAATTATGTAATTTTACAAATAGAAACTTGAGAATTCACAAAATAGACAAATAGAAAGGACCAGAAAGGAAAAGTAGCATCCCATTTTAATGAAATACATACAGTGAGTTATGGAATAAAACACTTAAGAGTAGGAAAGTTTTTAAAAGTTGGTACGTCAGGAAGGAGGCCACTCTCTTCAATCATCTTCAATGATGCATTTTATAAGTTGTCTTCTCGATTTTATGTTATCTTCTTAACTTTTCCTTTTCCAAATACAAGCCTTTCAGCATATATAACATTATGCATATCAAAAATATTTATAGTTTGGAATAGCTGCAAATGACATAGGCTCCCAGAGAATATTTGCTGTTAAATTTGTGGAGCTCTGAAACAGTATGTAGAAACATGTTAGTAAGAAAGCATATACCACTATTTCCAATTAAAAATACTTAACAGTTTTTAGTGTTGTGTTCCTTGTATCATGCAGTGTAGAGAAAAATGTGAAGTTCGGAGTGCTGACTTTATTTTTCAGGACTCATAAATTAATGTTTATGTGAGCCAAGTACATAATAATACAATACGAATTAGACTGTAGAATCGGAACACGTAACATCAAAATTTAGTTGGTTTATATGTGGAAAACTTGACACTGGTAAAAACAAAATTTTCTCTAGCACAAGTAAATAATTAAGTTATTCTTTAAACATTGCCTAAGCATTTGGTAAAGACTATTTTTATTCTCTTCATAATATTTTCCTCTTTGAAAAATGTATAGTTTCATTTTTATGTTTTCCATGTTCTTTTTCCTATGTTAAAATGACTATACTTGATACGTTATTACTTATTGGCAATATAAATAATTTTGTGCTTTTCAATGACACTAATGTCATGTTCCAGTTGCTTCATTTCTTGTTCCAGCTTCTGCTTGCGAATCTTCTTCGGCACGGAATCAATGAAGACCGAGAGGGACTGGAACTCCTTATGCACCTCTTCCCAGTTCTTTTTCAGCCCCTGCAAACGGTAGAGAAAACTGCAGACACTAAAGGAAACTGCAAAAGTAAAGTAAATGGTTGAGAAGATTGTACTGGTGAGGAAAAATATAAATAGGTAAAGAAAACTGACCAAAAGAACTTTAAGAATGACATGTATTTATCAAGTACTTGGCCACAGTAACAAGAAATATGGTACGGAGGCCAAACTCTGTCCTTGATCGTGTGCTCAGGTCCCACTGGGAGTATTTATTTGCTCTGTTTTTAATGTTACTGTACTTGTTTTTATCATCAAGTACGCGTGTGCAGAGTGATGAGTAGTGAGAAACCAAGCTCATAGCAAACACTTTGGTAAAAACGACAACTTAGAATTGACATCTTCAAGCAAAAAAACACTTGAACAGAAAATTATTTCTTATAGAAATTTTAGTTTTTTCTCTTTAAACCATTATCTTCATTCTTTAACAGGGAAATCACATCAAAAGACTTGATTCTGACTTGCATGGCCATGTTTTAAGAAACATGTCTGACTAAATGAAATTGTACAAAATGCCCAAATTCAACTTAACGAGAGATGATTTTTTATCTATCTTTTTAATATATTAAAGAACTCTCCCTGCATATGGTCTTGGGATCTATATTTCCCATTAATGGATTCTAGAAATGATTGAAATGTCATTAAAAGTAACACACATGCTAATTCAATAATGTAGTTAATGTTTTATATGCTCAGAAACCAACGAATTCAAAATTAGGGATCTCTTAGGGGCAATAAAGGTTATTTCCATCTCTGCATAGTTCTCATTTCTTATCACAGTGCACTAGAGGCCCCAGTGAGAAAATGGTCATAAATGGATAATTGAATTCATGCAATGAAATTTCATAAATTAACACTTTCTATTATTCACCACGGTTGAACAATCATTTTATTTACACAAAAACCAAAAGTAAAACTGAAAGGACAATTAAAATGTTACCTTGAAAATATGATCCTTGAAAACCATGGCCATACATTTAGGTTTAAGGGAGGATTAGAAGTATCATAACATCTTCATAATAAGCCCTCACAGCACCAATTTAATTGTGTAGAAACTTTTGGGGGATAATAAAGTTTCAATGGTATATTTCCATGCTTAGGTAAAAATGATGATAGAATGGGGCACACTGTATAGAAAAGTTTGGTTGGGAAAAAGAACAACAAATTTTGAACCCTTGTTGAGTGAGAATATATCAAGGATTTGGGAAAGGGAAAAGATAGAAGGAAAAGTATCCAGGTTAAATGTTTAAAAGAGGGGGATAAATTAACAATTCCTTCTTTTTTGCTGAGGAAGATTTGCCCTGAGCTAAGATCTGTGCCAATCTTCCTCTATTTTGTATATGGGTCTCTGCCACAGCCTGGCCACCAATGAGTGGTGTAGGTCCACACCCAGGAACTGAACCTGGGATGCCAAAGTGGAGTGCACCAAACTTGACCACTAGGCCACAGAGCTGGCCCTTAACACAGTTCTTAATAGCATATGAGATATATTTCTAAAAGAAGTCCTCAAAGGAATTCTATTTCTCCATAGTCTTTCATTATGAAATGGGAAATAGGTTTCCACAGTGCGCCACAGGAGTGCCTACTGCAGAGAGGAAATCTATGAACTTATGCATTTCCAAATATCAAAGGTTTTTCATAGTTATTTGGATGCTATTTCCATATTACTTGTGGTCACAGCAGGTACACTTTTCTCTGTATTTCCTTTTAAAGGGTAGTTTGCTTTATCTCCCAGTGTGTACAATAATGTTTGGATCAAAGTCAACAGCTAGGGATGGGAACTAAATGTAACTAATATTTCATATCATATTGGAATAGGCTGTTTGCTGTTTTTAAGACATTTTTGTTATTTCATCTAGAAAAATTGTATTCACTGCAGCAATAGTGATTTTCCCCTATTTTTATTTCTTAATTTTTCTCTCTTCTATTTTAATGCTGAAATAATACTGCTAATTTTGGGAAAATTTCAAATAGGGAGAAGCAGTCATGAAATAAATAAAACGTACTTTGAGTTCCATGCTCCTTTTGCAGCCACCCCATCCCCATCCATTCTCCACCTTCTTGTCCTACTCTATGACTATGGCTGGAGGCTGGTGGGGTTCTTTCCTGTGAGCTCTTTTACCCTCCAGCCTCTGACCGAGTTCAGCAAAAAAGGCACTGGCGGCAGAAGAGAGAGGTTGGGGCATTTCATCCCCCTCTCCTTGACATTACCTGGACACTAGCTCTGGCTCATCCATCTGTGACAGCAATGCCTGTCAAGTGGTCCCCTTCCAGACTCCAGCTCTCACCAGGCTCTGGTAATGCTGTTTCATGCCCCTGCCCTTCAAGCCTAGGGTGGTGGTGGATTCCCACTGTCCTTTGCCCTGAGGTGCCTCAGTGTTCCTTGTTGGTTCCCTTAGCCATGCTTCATTTCTGTAAATAGCGCCTTCATAAATTCTCTTCAGAATCACAGCTGAGTGTGCCTTCTACTTTCTGCTGGAGCCCTAACTGATAGAGTTCCCTTTGTTACCTCCTACGCACGTGCATGTAACGTAGCAGAGAAAATACCAGCCTGGGAATTGGTTGATGTGTGTTTTAGTCCCTCTTTAGCCACCTGATAATTTTGTGACAGAGAGCACATGTAAATGAAACTCCAAGTTCACTGACAGTAAGGACTGCGTTTGTTTTGCTCACAGCAGTATCCCCCGGGGCTGGGTACAGTGCCTGGAACACAACAGATGTTCCATAAATCAACAGATGGATGAATGCAGAAATGAGCCCACTTCATATATTTGCATTTTACATCTTCATCTGTAAAATGATAAGTTTGGACAAGATAATCCTTTCCAAGAATAATGAGACTGTTACTTTATGAAGAATGAGCAGAATGTGGCTGACTCAGGGACATACAACCATATTGTCATAGAACCATACACAGTTCTTAACCAGGGAGGAAACATTGTTCCGGGCTTCTCAGGGACACAGCTCATGGCTTTGTTGCCATAGCAGCTATACTACCTGGCTAATAAGGCCTCCAAGGGAGGATGTGCCATTGTCACATCGAGGGCACGCAAGGGAACCCTGCAGTGACCACATTAGGAAGCTGAGGGCTGCTTATCCACGGTGGTCAGAACTGCGTGGGAGGGAAGAGCATTTTCCTTCTGAGAAAAGTTCTTCCTCCCTCTTCCTATTTTTCAGCATCATTTAGACATAAAAACCTGGCTTTCACAAAAGCGTGCACTTTCTAAAAATGGTAGAATCCAACCTAGAGAGAGACAGAGAGGAAAAATGGGCCAAAGACCAGACTCTTCCTGAAAGTGACATGCAAAGTCCAACCCCCATGTCTGCCAGCCTTCCTGCCGGCCTGTCTTCCTTTCTTCCTTCCAGCACACCATTATTAAACATCTGTGTTTACACCGGGCACTGGGTTAGGCACTGGGGAGACTGTTGTCAAGAAACAGACACAGTCCCTGCCCTTAAGTGACTCCTGTTATCTGGGATACCCTTTCACTTTGCAGTTTAAGGCCCAGCTAAAGACCTACTTACATCCTTTAGTGGAGACCAGTCAGTCCCCTGGGACCTTAGAAAACTTAGGATCTGTGCACACACATACTCGCATCTATATATGCCACATATATACATATCACCCCTCCTCAATTAAATTACAACATTACCTATAGCAGAAATTTTATCTTATGCCCAGCTTAATATCCTTGGGACTTCACATGATACTCTATGCAAAATGGGCTTTTAGTAAATGTTTATTGACGATTATGATGACATTGATAAAATGGTAAGAGTTTATCACAGCATATGAATCTATTTTTCAACAGAAATTAATGCAGTAAAAAGAGGATTTTTCTGTTTTTAAAAGGTCACTAAAAATGGCTCTGAGGAAAGCCTTCAAAATAACAAAACAAAGGGTAAAGTACTATTTTTTACCTCTATAAAAGATAACATGACTATAGAAGAGTATAAGTGTGTGCTTCCTAAATACTCTCCAAAGATGATCATGGAGCAACCCTGCTCACATCCCCCAATATATTAAATGCTTCAGATAAACGTCCTGCATCAGAAACTGCAGTGTAAATATGACTTTAAGTCTATTTTATTTAAAATAAGGAAAATATATGTAAAACCTAACCCCGGGTTATTTTAAAATTTGGACATTTGGCTTATAGGAGAAAAAAAAGTTGGCCCAGGAACAGTTTCAATTATTCTAGAGCTCCATCTAGTGAAAAATGTCTACTTTATGGGTGTTAATTTTGAAAAATACAGCGACATGAGAATAAAAATAAAAATGAGTTTTTTGCTTTATTTATGCAAGTTCATTGCAGGAGAAGGTGAGCTTCTTTCCAACACCATCTTCAGGAAAAAACAGAAACTCACCAAATAGGAAACAAAATATTTTTCAGTGAATCTCTATATTACAGCTTTTTGCTCTCCCCAAAGGGTCAGTTTTGCTGCACGTCGTTTGTCCCCGTAACCAAGAGGGCGGGTTCTCATTTCAAAGTCCCAGTGCTGGCTTTAATAATCAAGTTGATCGAGGACATTTCTTTCAGAGCCATTCTAAAGAGTGACACATGAATATAAATTACAGCACACTCACCTGCAGAACCGTCTCCCTTTCTTCATCAGATAACCTTTTCATAGCTGCTTTCCTGAGGTTTTCCTGGATATAATTATCATATTCTTCTTGGGCTTTCTTTACTTCCTCATTTCGCTTACATATATACTCAGGTGTGACACCATAATCCTTACAAAGATTTATTTAGGGGAAAAAAAATCAATATCCTGAATGCAATTTTATATATATGTACCTACCAACCAATCAATGACTGAGAGAAAACAAAATATTACAGGCTTAAAGCTTTCGCTCAAAACACTGCAAAGTGACAAAATTCAGTGATTTTTTCCCCATTGGGAACTAGTGGATTCTGGTCTTTTAAAACCATTGGAGTTGTTATTGAGGCCACTTGTTTTCCCTCTTTTGAATGTTTCCAGCACCTGTTCTTGGCTGATAACTCAGCTCCTCCTTTACCCATAAGAGTTGGTTTTTCTTTCTTTATTTTAGGTGCTTCAACTTTACCTTGGAATATCTTGAATATCTTGAGGTCCCTTTTGCATGGTCTTGTTAAATAAGAAAATGATAAATGCTTCCAAGGCATTATAAAAACAAACTCTTAAGAAGTACTAAGCATATGTGCTTTAAGAGAAAATTGACTTGGGAATCTAAGGTTGTTTTTGGAAACACAAAATACATTTTCAGCCTCCCGAGCTGCTTACAAGGCTGACTGAAGCAGTCAGCCATGATTCTTTCAGATTAGTGAATGTGTTTGATATCACTGTGTAGAGAAACAGAACTACTTGTTTATTCTTCAAAAAATTATTTGAGAATGTACTTGGTGCTAGCTATACTAGTGAATAAGAAAGTCGAGAAAGTTTCTGTCCTCATGGAATGTACATTCTATGGTGAGAGAAACTCACCAATAATAGAGTGTAAAATAATACATCTAAGTGCTCCAAAGTAAAATAAAGGACAGTAAGGGGGAAGAAAGCAATAGCAGCTATTTCAGATAAATAAGACTGTCAGGGAAGACCTCTCTGAGGAAGCAGCTGTTGAGAGATAGGTAGTCATTAAAACTATTCACAAATATTCTGGTTCTTCTTCTAGGCACTTGGAAGGACAACACTTTCCTGCTCCCCTTGACGTGAGATGTAGTCATGTCACGTGACCTGACTTGCCCCCTGTGAGCGGAAGTGACCTCTGTGCCTTTAGAACTAACTTGGATGACTTGCCATGTTCTTTTTCTGTCTGGTACAGTGACAAGTGATGTTCTGGGTTGCCTGGGTCCTGGAACCAGGACAAGAAGCAAGAGCTTCCAACAACCCTCAATGAACATGTAGCATAAGCAACTTAGTTGCTTTAAGTTACTGAAATTTTGGGGTTATTTGTTACCATAGCATAACCTAACCCATCCTGATTGAACAAGGGATAGAAATACTAGCTTTAAACATGTTCTGGAAAGTCGCAAAGCACTACACAAATAAGCTCTAAGAGCACAGTATTCTGGTAGGTTAGCACAGTGGTAAACAGTCCCATTCACTTCAGGAGACACTGAGGGCAACACCGCATTACAGCTCAGTACAATTACTGATGTTCATAATGATGATTCTGTATCATCACAGAAAGATTAAATTATATTTGGCATACTCTGTTTAATAAAGGGAAGGATTTGATACACTTTTAAGAAAAAGAACTATGTCACAAATGAGTAAAATCTTCAGTGATTGGAAATATTCCCATGTGCTGAATCATTGAAGGCTAATGAATACTACTAATATTGATAATTGCGTGTATGATAATATCCACCCTGTACTGAACTTTTATTGGTGCCAGATGTTGTGTCAAGTGCTTGATGTATTTTATATCACTTATAAATCTAATGATTTGTTAAAGATCACAGACTTAAGTAAGTGGCAAGAGTTAGAACTTGAAATGATGCCCCACCACTATTGTTATATAGCTCAGGCAATCATTCATGCTTCTGTTTGTTTTCACAAATTGTTTCTCATGGCTCAAACAGGCATATAACATTTTATTTGGAACTAAAGCATGAGGTTCACTCACTTTTAAAAAATGATATTGCCCATAAAAGGACTTACTATCTCACTTACCAATAATAGATTTTTTAAAACTTATTGCTGATAAGTGGAAAGAAAGTTGAGTAAATCCTTCATGAGCCCTGACTGCTTAGCCAGCAACACCAAGAAGACAAACGTGCAGAGTGTTTGTGTGGCTTGGCAAACAAGCATAGGTAGACTAACAATATTTTTCTGTCTTCGTGATGGATACTTTCAATCTTCTGCTCAAAGCAGAAAATGTATTGAAGTGAATAACTTAGGCAGAAGGCAGCCAGAAGGAGGGGCTGAGTGTGTGGCAGTTGGTGGTATGACCATCAAAGGACAAGGGTTTTTATATGATAGTGGAGAAATAATGGATTGGAAGTGGCTTTAAAGAGCCAGGAGACTGAAATTTCTGCTTTTCCACACTCTATGGGACAGAGACTCTAAGAAGCCTCCAGGGCCACAGAAGGAGCAAGTATCTGGAGAAGCCTGAAATAACTTTATCTGTGTGTGCTGCCAACTCCTAGATTCCTGCTAACGTCTTCCAAAGGTGTCTGAGCCTACTGGGTGACGAGTTTCTCAGAGAGTATTTGTGTTCTCTGACAACGGCCTTGAGGTTTTTTTGAACAGGCATTGGATTTATCACAGTAGGTCACTAGACGACCTCAATGCAGCCCCCCATACATCAACACTGCAATTTCTTTTTTTACTCTTCCTTCTTTCCTTCCTTTCCTTGTTGCTATAACTTATTATGTATCATTATTCTTTAGGGTTTTGCACTCATATTTTACTACATGTGTTTCAAGCACTTTTGCACTCTAGAAGTATACAAACTAAAAGAAGTTTTGTATAAGTTGTTTTTTTGGCAAGCTTTTTCAATTTTAAAGATCTTCTATATTTAAACAATTAAATCCAAACTTCTATAATTTCACCAATGAAATCATATGCCTATCTGATAAGCAACTTTTCAGATAGAAATGAAGGAAAAAAGAAGACTAGATTATTGTATAGTACTTTCAAAGTCTGTTTTACTCCAAACTAAAAATAAGTGAATATAGTCAGGTTGGAACAGTAATGTGAATTCTTCACTCTGCACTGATGGGGTGGATGACTTTAGAGTTGTATTCCTCTTCATTTCACTCATTCTGCTACTAAGATACTGCAAGCTAATGATTTAGTCTTAGGGTCTTCTGAAAGATTATTCCTTCTAGATTTATGGTAGTGACCGTGCTTTTAGTGACACTTCCATCTCAAAATTTAATACATTTTAGAGAATGTTTGTTATAATTGTTAAATATATCTACAATTGAAATTAAGGACAACAATTATAGTTTTTCTCTACTGAACTATGTGGTGGTGTTCATTCCAAATTCTCTGTAATAGCATCACATTAGACTTGGACCAAACACAGATCGCGGAGAATGGGAATTGGGAATCTAGATAATTTGTCCAGTGAGAGCACTATTCATGATAATACAGACAATCATTATGAACACCATATTTAAACTACTTGAATCTCAGGTTGCTGATTAATATATCACAAGCCTACCTTTTTACTGATGTACTTTGGAACCAGTCCTGAAGTTTCAAGATCATGCTTGTCTCCTGTTCTTTTGTCAATGTAAATTGGTTTAGGCTTTTTCGCCACTCCCATAATGACATCGGCTGCATTTGTATTTATAAAATTTTTTTCACTCTGTATTCCCATGACTGGATGATCAGTCCTCAATGGCACAGGAGGCTTTTTGGGCTCATTCCGATCAAACTTTTTTTCTGTTAAACATAACATTTCCTTGTTAATATTAAACTATAAACATTGCTACTTAGTACTATTTATAACATCCAGATATTTTACCACTGGTATATTGGAGTTTTATTAATAATATATTCAAAAATATAAGGTAAAAAATAAGTAATCATAATCATATCATATGTCTCCTATACACTCCTCCCTGATTGACTCTCACCTCCTAACGTAACTACTATCCAGAATTTATCTTATTTCTCTATACCATGTTCTCTTCATTAGCAGCAGATGAAACTGGCCATTTTTACACAGCTTCTTCAACTGGACCATTCCAACTCATCTATTTTGATACACCCACGTCAAAATGTCATGTCAAAATGCTAAAATGTGAAATAATTGCAATTTATTTCTAAGAACCGAAGGCAACAATTATCTTGACAAAACCTTACTCAAATCTTAACCCCATCACAGTTACTTAAGATTTTGGCTTTATTCATTCCTGCACGGTTTGAACTTTTTATACGTTTATATAACTTTTATTATCAAAAAATCCAATAATTTTTATTAAAAGTGTATGGACTCGATTTTTTAAGATTGGCATCTGAGCTAACATCTATTGCTAATCTTCTTTTTTCTTCTTGTTTTTCTTCTCCTCAAAGCCCCCCCAGTACATAGTTGTATATTCTAGTTGTAGGTCCTTCTAGTTGTGCTATGTGAGATGCCACCTCAGCATGTCTTGACAAGTGGTGCCATGTCCGTGCCTAGGATCTGAACTGGCGAAACCCTGGGCCGCCAAAGCGGACCGTGCAAACTTAACCACTCAGCCACAGGGCCAGCCCCTAATCTCTTGCTATAGACTGAATTGTGTCCCCCCAATATTCATATGTTGAAGTCCTAGCCCGCAGGGCCTCAGCACTTGACTGTAGTTGGACATAGGGTCTTTAAAGAGGTACCTAAGTTAAAATGAGGTCATTAGAGTGAACCCTAATCCAATATGACTGACATCCTTATAAGAGGAGGAAATTTACACACAGACATACACAGAGGGAAGATCATGTAAAGACAGAGTGAGAACACAGCCATCTACCAGCCAAGAAGAGAGGCCTCAGAAGAAACCAACCCTGCTGACACCTTGATCTTGGACTCTAGCCCTCAGAATTGTGAGAAAATGAATTTCTATTTAAGCCTCCCAGTCTGTGATACTTTGTTCTGGCAGCCCTAGCAAACCAACACACCTGGATATTAGTTCTACACCCCAGAAACATTATAAAGGAGTTTTTGAATATTCATTTATTCATTACTTCATGCAAAATATTTTTGTTGAGCAAATACCATGTCCCCAGGTAATGCTCTAGGAACTGCGGACACAGCAGGGAACAAAAGAGACAAAGTCCTTGTTTTCATGGAGTTTACGTTCTGATGAGGGAAGAAAAATTAAAATTTAATATGTAGAATATAACGTATATATTTGGTTGAACTATACGTGAAATTCTTTACTGTTTTTGACCTACAAAAATGGCATCTTCTTCCTGTTTAACCTATTACTGAAACGTGAGCATTGTTAGAAATTGAATTACGGAATTCCTATGAAGTATGGAGCAGAGAATGAGGCCTCATTGTTGTGACTCAAATAGCTTCCTTCGACCAGATACACCCAACCAAATAAGGTTTGCATAATCTGTTTGCTTAAAAAACCAGAGGTATCTATCCTCTAGATATTCACATGGAAAATATTCAGAGGCCAAATTTCATTATGAATTGAAAGCGCACGCACATCACTCCCTTAACTCTAAGGGAGTGCATACAAGAGATAAAAATGAATTCTCAGAAAATGCGGAAACAGTTTAGAAAGACTGATAACTCATTCTTAGGTGAGTAAATAGAGTAAATTGTAACTCTTGGTTGTTTGTGGTTGTCCACTGGATGGTAACTAAAGCCCACCCCGGCCTTCCCCTTACATCTATCTAAACATCATCCTGTCTCTCATCCCAGGAGTAGGGGTTGGCAATGGGATGAGGTTGGAAAATGGGGTCAGGACATCTCTTTACAAATTATTTGGTGGTAGTGATAATAAATATGAAAACCAAATGGTTTAGTTTTTTTAGGCTATATCAAAATGGCAATGTCAACACAGCCTTGTAGTAATGCAGAGGGTCTATCAATTGAATTTAGAGAAATGTTCATGTACCTGTTAAGTGTTTTTCAGTGTGTCTAGCAAATTACTATCTTCAAATTAACTGTGTTCCCAATGGCAGCATATTCAAAAAGAGATTGGCAGCAGCCTTGGCCTGTATTACCTTTAACTTTACCTTACTTTACTGGGCTTAAGCTCTTCCAACACTCGGAATTTCTTAATAATTCTTAAGGCCAACTAAACGTTGTGTTTGTTTTGCCTCATACAGTTTATAAGAGGAGAGATAGGCTTCTTCTCTTTTTTCTTATTTGATGTTTAGGATTTATATAGTTTGGTAATTGTGTTATATAATACAATGTGCTTAACCTTCAAGAGCCTACATGAGGACCCAAGTAATATCATTGGTCCTAAGGCATTGAAAGAATTGAATTCCATTTTAAGATTTTCCAGTGTCTTCAAGTGGTTTTAGGTCACATAATACCTAGCCTCCACTTGAGGAAGATACAAAAGAGACTTTCAAAGACACGAATTTAAGCATGAATGTTGTATTTTCAGACTTGCTTCTTGCATCTTTCCTGATAATGCCCTCATCCTTTGTCATGGCAGTTGGATTAAGAGAGGATTGTAGGACATAAAATATTTCCATGGGGAGAAGTAGTTTCACTTTGTCAAAAGGTACACCCTAGCTGGGCTTGAGATGTTGCATTATTTCCTTGATGCCACAAGACATAAAAAGGCTAACTTTTTAAAAGAGATAGACTCATTTCCCTCTCCTCTTTATTGTCCTAAAACATCAGGGAAGACATACATAGGATGGGAGGAAGCTGCTTCTCTGCATACCTGTCACAGATCCCTTTTCATCAATTTTCCAGTCTTTTGAGAGCCTTCTTTTCTGGTATCCACATACTCCGTGATCATGATTAACTACATAATTTGCAACGCCAGTACAAAATGAAAATGCGGGGTTCTTTGATCAAAGATTAAGAATTCCAAGATGGCAAAAGCAGGGCATTAAACCAAGCATGGGATTCTTCTAAGCATGGGGACTTGTGTGACTGCACAGGTAGCATGCCCAAGAAGCTGGCTCTGTCTACACTCATTCGTGAAGGTTCCTCCATGACATCTAACTCATTTATTGTTCTAATGATCTTAGAGATCTGGGAGAGATAAAGCCCATACTCAAGTCTCAAGTGAGCCTGGTAGTTGCTTCAAAAACTGGTAGTAACTGATGTAATTTTCATTTCTTGGAGAAAAGTTCAGACAGGATTTAGATGCCAGGCAATCTTGCCGATGGGGGTTTAGAACTCTTTTGATAACATTCCTTTGTTATTGAAGTCATATGGCTAGGGACTAAGATGGTGAGACATGTGGTGTCAGAGGTGGGACTTTATGGGACAGTCCAAGATGTACTTCAAGATTCTTACACCATGAAAAGGAAAGTCTATTTTGGGGGCAACTTGGCATTCTCCACTCTCTTTTCCTACTACATTCTCTACTTCTCCTTTCTTCTAGCCTCTCAAACTCTGTTTAATATGAGGTAAAGTTTCTATCACTTGTAAATATTTAATATTCATAGACAATACAATAATTTTAGTTAAATTACCTGTTAACACTTTTAATGTTAAAAAGAATGATAAGACCTACTCGGTGGTAGAGGTTTTTCCTTTGAATGTTTCTTCAGGAATTCCTTTGGAGAAGGTAGTTCAACTTTTGCTGGTCCCATAGTTTTCATTGCAGTTTTAAATTTTTGCATGTCATCTTTTACAGCTGTCTTAAAAACTGATGTGTACCTAAAATTAAAAAAAGTAGTATTTATATTTCTAGTAGAAATTATTTAAAGTTTAAAAAAGGATATACATTTCTAATTTATATAAGTCCATATTCATTTGGAGATAAAGTGTAATTATCGGAGCCCTGTTTATCAAGCTTAGGCAAGCTAGAAGGAGGCTTTGCCCTAAGAAACAGATGCCAGTGTAAAGATGTTCATAATATTTCCTTATTATCCTTTGAGCATCTGTAGCATTGATAGTGATGTCACCTCTCCCATTCCTGATATTGGTAATTTGTGTCTTCTTTCTCCCTCTTTTTTCTTTTTTTTTTTTTTTTTTGCTGATCAGTCTGACTAGGGCTTTATTAAATGTTATTGATCTTCTCAAAGAACTAGTTTTCATTGATTTTCTCTAACGCTCACATGTTCCATTTAAATGATTTCTGCACTTATCTTTATTATTTCTCCTTATTTGAGGTTTAATTTGCTTTTCCGTTTTTAGTTTCTTAAGGTGCAAGTTTAGGTGTTTGACTTTAAACCTTTATACTTTTCTAATAGAAGTATTTAAAGGTATAAAATCCCCTTGAGGCACTGCTTTATAGCTGCATCCCACAAATTTGGATATGCTGTGCTTTCATTTTCATTCAGCTCCAAACACCTTTTTAATTCCCTTCTTGTATCTTCTTGACTTAGGAGTTTGTTGAGATGTGTTTAGTTTTCCAATATATGGGGAGTTTCTAGATATCTTTTCAATTTCTAATTGATTTTTACCGTGTTTAGAGAATATCCTTTGTATGATTTCAATCATTTTAAATTTTCTGACACCTATTTTATGGCATAAAGTATGGTCTGTCTTAGTAAATGTTCTAAAAGGAAGTGTACTTTGCTCTTGTTGGCGGCGGTGTTCTATTAATGACAATGAGGTTGAACTAGTTGGTAGTGTTTTCAAGTATTCTATTAATTATTGAAAGAGAGATGTTGAACTCTCTGACTACAGTTGTGGATTTGTCTCTTTCTTCTTTTAGTTCTATCAGTTTTTTGCTTCGTATATTTTGAAGCTCTATTAGTAGGTGCATAGCATTTAGGAATATGATATCTTCTTGAAAAACTGACTACTTCATCATTATAAAATAATACTCTATCTTGTTTAAAATTCTATACTCTAAAATCTACTCTGTCTGATATTAAGAAAACCACTCCAGCATTCCTTTGATTTGTGGCAACATAGTATTTTTCCATTCTTCAACTTTTTACTTATTTGTGTCTTTATTTTTAAAGGGGTTTTCTTATGGAGAGCATAGAATTTTTATCCTTTCTAATAATCTTCTATTTGGTATGTTTAGACCATTCACATTTAATGTGATTTTAAAAATAGGTTTGTGTTTAAAATTTCCATCTTGCTATTTGTTTTCTACATATCCCATTCTTCATTCTTCCTCTTTTCATCTTGCCTTATATTTTGTTTTTATTCTGTGGAAGTTCTAAGGTTTACAATATACACATTTAACTTATCACAGCCTATTTCAAGGAATATTATACCACTTTACATATCGTATAAGAACCTTACAAAAGAATATTTGCATCTACACCCCCGTCTTTGTCCTAGTGTTGTAATATATTTTACATCTATACGTGTTATAAAACCCATAGTTCATTGTGATTATTTTCCCTTTAAAAAGCCAATTATATTTTAAAGAAATTTGAAAAGAAGAAAAATAATCTTTACTATTTATCCATATATTTACCATTCCCAGCATTCTTTATTTCATTGTGTAAATCTGAATTTCCAACTTGTACCCTTTCTTGTGCATTAAGGACTTTTTAACTTCTGGCTTTCCTTGTTTCTGATGAGATATTTGCTGTCCTTCTTCCTTCCACTGTATGTAATGTGTCTGTTTTCTTTGGCTGCTTTTAAGATTTTTGTCCTTATTACTAGTTTTAAGAACTTTAATTGTAATGTCCCTTGCTATGGTTTTCTTCTCCATCTCCTCCTTTTTCTTTTCTTTTTTTTCCCCTGCTTGGGGTTCATTGTGATTCTTGGTTTTGTGGATTTAGAGATTTCATTAAATTTGTCAAAACTTTTGCCATTCTTCAAATATTTCTTCTGTTAACCCACTTTTCTCCTTTCCTTCTGGGATTCCAATTTCACTTACATTAGGCTGCTTCATGTTCACAGCTCACTGATTCTCTGTTTTTCTTTTCAGTTTTTTTCTCTGTTTCATTGTGTATTGTTCTATTACTATGTCTTCAGATTCAACAATATTTTCTTTTTCAGTGTCTTAGCTACTCTTAATCCTATCCCTATTGGGTGGGATTAGGATACTACTGGTATCAGTATTAGATGGGATAGGATACTTACTATTTTCATTTTAGACATGGTGTTAGTTATGTGTAGAAGTTAGATTTGGGTCTTTTTTTTATCCTTCCATTTCTCTCTGTATCTTGCTTGTCTTTTCCTCAAACACATCGAAGATATTTAAAATAGTCATTTTAATGTCCTTGTCTACTAATTCTCTCGCTGATGTCATTTCTTTGTCTGTTTGTACTGACTGATTTTTCCCTTGGTTATGCATTATATTTCTGGGTCCAGAAGAGCTTTTAGTCTAGTTCTAATTTGGCCCCACTACTGAGGCAATATACTCTTGAGAGCACTGCTCAATGCCCTGTATCTCAGAAGGTCTTTCCATTCTGATGGGAATATGAACTTTATCTGGCTCTGCTGCCTTCTGTTGGTTATTTCCCTGGCCTCAGTAGTTTCATCAGACACATGTACCATCAACTAAAGACTTGAGGGAAATCCTCCTGAATATTTCCATAGCTCTCTCTTTATCTATGAGGTTCTCTCCTCTCTGGTACTCTGTGCTGTGAATTCCACATGCCTTGATCTTCCCAAACTCCGACCTCTGTCTCCTTAACTCAGGGAAACTGCTGGGTTTTGTTTAAGTTCCTTTTTCCTGGGCTTTTGCCTGGAAATTCTCTCCAGGGAGTATGTTGAGGCAACTAGGGCTTGTTTCCCTTCTCTGAGGGATGACTGCTCCGTGCTGCCTATTGTCCAGTGTCTGAAAACCACTGTTTTACATATATGTTCTGGTGTTTTCGTTGTTTAAAGTGAGAGGGTAAATTCCTTGATTGGAAGCAGAAGTTCAGCTCTATCACTTTTAACAATTTGTATTCTCTTCTTACTTATGTGGATAAGTTTGTTTTGAGAAACATTAAATAGTTTCTTGCTTTTAGGGGCCTTTTCTCAATCTTGAACTCACTGGCTGGGAATTAATTATAGTTCAAACTGAATGAGCTCATTAGATACCTTAAGGAAATATGCTCAGTCCAAACGTGTGCCTTAAAATTCCCATGGAAGTTCGAATTGGCAGATATGATCTCTTGATTCATAAAATAACTTCCTTTGGGGTGAAAAAGGCGTCTGTATACTCTCACTTCTTTTTAATTTGCAACCTTGTGATTCAATACATTATTTTGTGTGTGTGCTGAAGGCTTACACATCTGTTATAGAAAACAAGATATTCCAGTCTATATGAATAATTTTTTATTTTTCAAAATTACAAAAATAAAAAAGATGAAATTAATATATCATATGTCAATCATATATCAATAAAAAATAAATAAAAATCTAGGTTCCCTCCATCTCCTCAATCCATTTTCCAGAATAAACTCTGTTTTCTATATTTCTATTTATGTATGAACTGTAACTTGATTTTTAAAAACTTAATATAATGTGATATCTTTCCAGAACAGTGCATGTAAAGCTTACTCTGTCTTTTCAATAGCTGCATTTTATTCTATTTTCTGGATTGTGTGGTTTTATTATAAAGACCTAGGGGGTGACTTTATTAGACAACTGGGCCTACTTTCTAGTTTTTATTAGATGTGGGCTATAGATTAATTATTCTAAAACTAAAATTGTCATCTTCAATAAACATGCCATACTTGCATTTATTTTATTGCCAATAATCACCACATAGTAAATCATATGAAGTCTTTAGGCATATATTTTTAAAGCATTTTCTCTTAAAGAGCACACAGAGAAATACTGACTCTAAGTTGGGATGGTTTGATAATGCTTGATGGAGATTTTTCTTTTCCTAATGGCTTAGATGGGCATCTGGTTAACTACTGTTTTTTGGTTTTGTTTCGTTCTTTTAATTTCAAACCAATATTATTGCAGTGTTTCTCTATTGTGTAGGACTTTAGAACCTAGACTGTATTAGAAAGTCCCTCAAATTATTTCTCGAAGAGAATTCTAACTTGTACATGGGTACCCCTTAAGCTCACGTAAAGGCACTGAAGTGAGAGTCTTCAATTCAGCCTCATGACTCTAGCAAATAATTCAATTTTCAACAGTGGATGCCAATTCTACTCCCAGCTTGGCTGACAACACAGGTATGCATCACCGAGTATAATTCTGATCTTGGTGCTGCTTAATACCTATCATAAACTGTTGAGAGGAATAATAAATATGGTAGATTATCAAGAGGATATGTAGTCAATGTATTAATTTATATCTGTGCTGGACAATACAGTAGTTACCAGCCACATGTGGATACTGAGCACTTGAAAGGTGGCTAGTGCCACACGTTGAAATTATAGTATTTTGGATACATTGGGTTAAAATAAAAATCTATTATTAAAATTAATTTTATATATTTTTTCTACTTTTTTAAAGTGGTTATTAGAAAATTTAAAATCACGTACGTGGCTCACATTTTATTTCTATTAGACAGTGCTGACCTAGAGATTGGAAAAATCAATCCTTGAATTAAAAAATATAGTCGCATAGTTGTATACCCAGACCACATCATAGCGATGTCTCCAAAACTGCTTTCATTAAGTTATGTTTTGGCATGAAGACCATTGGTCTACAATGAGAGCAACATCTGACCTGTGGAACTTGGTGCATTTAATGTAAGAGTGCTGCTGAGATCTTTATTCATTACATCACACACATTGTCTCTTTTCTCCATGAACCGTGGCGGAAGTCTATTTCTGGCCCCACACCAAGAATACTTGTGTTTCTCAGCCACTGCTTTCCTTCTGTCTTATGGAAAACGTGACTTAGAGTGTAAGTGATCTTTGAAGGATCACGGGAAGCATCGTTCTTCCTTTGTGGGTTGCCCACCTTCTAGTTAGCACTGAGTCAAATTTTTATCAGACTTCAAGCAAACACACAAGATTTGAAAGCATACATTTCATGTACCAGAAATTTCACGCTCATTTGTGGCACTGTCTTACTTTTCTATCATTATTTTCTATTTACTTTGATATCCTCATTAAAAAATATCTTATTGCATTATAACAGAGTAATGTATAAATAAATACTAAGCAGTATCTTACACATGAAAATTATCTGAAGAATAAAATATATAGATATATATGTGCTATTGAATCAAAAGGTGCTCGTTAGGTTTGTTTTAATTATTTACTCAGATTGAAAAGCAGTGCACAACCTGGTTAAAGTTATGGGCTTTGGTGTCAGACTTATATCTCAGTCTTAGCTCTTCTTCTTCCTAGCTGCCTCGACTCTCTGGGCCTGAGTTTCCTCTTCTGTAAAATCAGGATATTACTACTCATCTCATAGGGTCCTTGTGAGATTTACATAATGCTTATGAAAAACATGGAACAGTATCTGGTACATTGTAAACACTAATACATTGAACATATTATCATCATCATCATTATTATTAATATTGTTGCTATTATTACTTGGTATTCATCTTGCTTAAATAAAAAAAAAAAGTTTAATCCTTTACTGATCTTACTTGTGTCCTAAAAGACAGTCTTATTCTCTAAAAATTCAAGTCATTGTGTAAAAATGGTTATTATAAGAGACAGACACAGATAGACGGACTTTCCTGATCTATAATAAACAGATTCTCATACTATGATATATTGTACAGTATGCTTAAGATATTGAATCTTGATCTGTAATGGAATAAACTTATAAAAAATGAGTCTAACTCTGACAAAAGTTCAGTTATCCACAAATTTCCCTGGCAACTAATTTTAAGAAATATTGTCGACATAGTTTCTTCTCAACATTTTTAGGTACGTGTGAAATGCCAGAGAGACGTGCTAACGTACCACATGTTAAATCTATAGAAATCTAAATGAGAGGCAGTTACCCGAGATGAACGAACACTAAGCCAGTAAATGCACGTGGAAGCTGAGATTCTCCTTGTTGACAAAAATCCTGTTTGTGGATGTCCTTGCCCTCATCCACAGGTCAGAAGGGGAAAAGTACCTTCTCAAATTATCCCTTTCATTTCTAGTTTCCCAGGCCTTCAATTCTTCCACATTCTTTAGGTAATTTTATTAATTATAACACATCTTCAGTTGTGTGCTTGCTTTTCTTGCTGATTTTGAAATCTTCTATATGAACTGTGGGGTTTAGGTCAAAAATTAATATAAATACATGCATGAGAAGAGCACTTGGGTAAAAATAACAGAAGAGATGCAGAGAAGTGTTAGTACTGTGGAAGTCTCCAGAGTCTGGATATCTAGATTAAAAATATGAATAACAACTTCTAACACTAATCATAAAACTCTGCCTGAGACCACATAATGCAGCAATGGGAATTTTAGCATAAAATTTCATTATTCTAAAAACAAAGGCTCTGGAATATTCTTGACTTTTTTGAATAAAAGTTCATTTAGAAGGACTACTGCACTCTCAGTTGAATTAATGGCTATAATTAGCCAGCAAAGTAGATAAGAACCTTAGGAGAAAATGACTGTGTCATCTTAGACTTCATAATAGTCAAGACTGCTTAGCAAAGTCAGATACATAACCAGACTTTAAGGAGATGTTACAAAACTTCAGAAAATATACATAGGACAGTATGTAAATTGAATTAAATGGAAGGTAGTCTAAGAAGAATGAGAAGCTCTGAAAATGAAATTCTAACTAAATGTCACAATTAATCCCAATAAAAACCAGAAAGGCTTAAGGAAAAACACAACTAGTGGGTGCTTAGGACATTAAATATTCCCGCTTTCAAAAAGTAAGCATCCAGAAGCTCCATACTGGTAAGCCTGATGTCAATTTTGGAGAGCACCTAAAAATCTGTAGCAATGATTGTATGAGCCATTTGGAATTTCAGGTTACTGAAATGAACACCATTTTTTTTTAAAAAAAAATAAGATTATGGGATTCATAAAACAGGCAAATGGCTTAGACATAAGAATATGGATCTTGATGTTAGCAAAGCCTCTAATTAAATCCTTGCTGATATCAGCTGATTAATGGATGCATTTGGATGACTGACTGAAACTTCAAAACAATATTGCTGTCAGCCTAGAAAGAGGTGTCTAGTAGCCTACTAAAGTGCAAAGTATTTACCCTGTTCAGTGATAGATGGAGATATGAAAGACATACTTACTTGATTTGCAAATGACACAAAGCTGGGTGGGATGGTTAAGAGAGTGTATGAAAGATTCAAAATTCAAAACTCTATTAATGAATTTATATCAAAAAGAATCAGCTACACAATTAGTCTTAATTCATGTGGGAATTTCAATGCGAGACAATGGTGGGACATGACTGTCAAAATGCTAATGGATGCATTAATAAAAGTATTGTGTATCAAGGAAAGGAGATAATGGCTCCATGGGATGTTCAGACCATACCTGGAATATTATCTTAAACAAAGGGAAAGAGAGAATGATTGGAGATATTAAATAACTGGAGCCATCAAGAGAAGGGTGACAACTTTGGTGAAGATCTTGGAAACCATCTCATGCATCATGAGCAACTGAAATTTTGAAAATGGATTCATGGCTTCCCATTGACTTTAACACTTTTAGGTCTTAAGTCTCAGCTCATAGTTCAACTGCAAGAGGTTGCCCTTCACCCTACTTTGGTTACATATATCCATTGTTTAAGTTTTCATTTAGTATTTGCATCTCTCATTTGGGTTTTCGATATTATACGGTTTTATCACTAATCAACATTTTAACGTTTATATTTCAGTTCCCCAAGGAAACTGCAACCTGTGAGGTATGGGAGATCACAGTGCAGTCAATTGTTGATTTTCCCAAGGAATTAACCTCCTTGTGAAACCTGGACAGTCATCTTGCTAATCTTGCAAAGATCCACAGTGAGCTTTCTTGAAGTTGGGTTTATAACTTGGTGATCCAAATAAGCCTCGTAGCTTAATACATTTCTTTCTTAAGATTAATTCCTACTTTTAGTAAGGAGATTGAGTCAGGCAAGTATTTTTAGTGTGGTGAGAAAGAGCTAGGTAAATGTTTTATTATCTGTGTTTTTATAAATTGGTAGTTTGAGTGCATGACATCTTGTCAAATTAAAAACTTCTCATGGTTGTTGCTGACACTGTAGGTTGACTTCACCTCACCAGAAAGAGTTCTTTGGCACCACACCTAGATACCTTCTATTCCCTTCACCATATGTTCCTTTTCCCGACTTATTCTTTCAGAGTAAAGCAAGGCGTTTGTGCTGTCACTCCAACATTCCCCGAGAACATTCCCCCAAAACAATGTTATATACACAAGAGGGGCTCAGTTAATGCTTGCCAAATGAACGAAGAATATTTCTATAAAATTTCTTGAAAAAATCACCTAGACGCAGTAAAGCTTTTTAACTTACCAATGAAGAGAACACCTGTCTAATAAAATATCTTAACATTCAAATTCAGTACTCTATAGAAAATACAATTGACTAGTGGATTTCAGAGAGGAGGAGCTTTACCTTGTACAATATACAGGAATTTTTGAGCACAAGTCCCTTCAGCAATAGTTAATTTGAATGCTCCTCATAAACTCTGCGACTGTAACATATCTTACTTAACATTCCTCTTTCCGACCTCAATTAGATTTTTCAGTAGCTGACGGAAAACAACATAGGCACTGCTCTGGTTACAACCAGATACTCAGGCTTAACATGGAAGCGTTTGCCCAATTGTTGAAGATGTTAGGCACCCCAAGTAATTACCAGTAAAAATAACTGGACATTAGATCTGAAAGAGACTTGAACATTATCTAGTTCATTTAGCTTGTTTTACTCATCAGACAACAAATGAAAATTTATTCATGATCCCCAAACCTATTAGTTGCAGAGTCTGCTTTTTAGCTGTGTGCTCTTTCAATGCTGTTTTGATTTGCATCACGAAAAGGAAAAACATAAAAGACAGCAGAGTTCTAGAGGGAATGAGATTTTCTCCACTAGTTACCTTCTTCTCTCTCCACAGATTTAAATAAGTTGTAAGTCCCTACACAGGAGAGTAACCTGGAGGTTTACTTTGAGGTTACCTTTCTGAAATTTGGGGAACCTACAGGGCCTAACACCTATGTAAAAATTTTAACTCAGTTATGTATTTTTGGGTCTTTTTCCATCTACCCTTCCTTTCACCCAATTATTAGATCCGAAAAAGACCTCAGAAACTATCCAGTCTGTCTATTTCGTTTCACCCATCAAAAAAACTGAGGCTCAGAAACAAATAGGACTCTATACTAGACAATAATCGTGGGAAAAAATAAGTACCATCCCAATAGTGTAGTCAGAAATAAAACAATGAACTCCTGAAACCAAATATCAAGTATCCTAACATGGGATAATAAAGTTGGGATTTTCTCTTTTCAACAGGAAATTTCACGCTATGTTGTATACCACATCATGTACGAAAAACTACATCAGTTACAAAACAATTACAAACCGTATTAACAGGAGGCTAACATGATAAGGTGGCCCTCTCACAGCACGGGACTGCCCTCTGTGTGAACTGTGAGATGCTAAATACCTAGATTTTGTAAACTCTTCTCTAAGCAGTTGTCATCCAAGGCTACTTCATTGAGCAAAAATAGATGTTATTTCTTAAAGTTATAGGATGCTTAGTCAAACCTGAAATGGAACAATTATTTCCCATTCTTGTTTCAAGCGATAATCTTTGCTTACCCACATACCTAGGAGGCTGGGGAGGTTCCTTCCAGTCACTGGGTATGAGGTTATAAATGCTCTCAGAAAAGCACGCTGGATCCATGACCACCAAATGATTCCTTAAAACTACTCAACTTTTTTCTCTATACCACTATCTCCGTCCCCTTCTTCACTGCGTCCCCTTTCCTTTTCTACTCTCTTGCCTTCTCAAAGAACTAAGGTTTCTCTCTTTCGCATAATTCCCCTTTGACCTCTTCTTCGCAGTCCTCTCTTGGGAAGAAAATAAAATACCCCTTCTATTCCTCTTGGGGTTGCTTAGCGTGGTTAACGGCGCGGTTGCCATGGAAACAGTTACTAGGCGACGGAGAAGTCGAAGGCAGCACCACAAATTAGGTTTCCTTTCTTCCCTCTCTCTGCAGCTCCTTCTTCTGCCTGAGAAGTTCAACATGGAAACCACTATTTATATGTGCCCTTGGGAGTAATGGGGTCAAGAACGGCCTCCCTTTAAAAACGTTGCTCTTTTCTGTCTGTATATTTGGAGAGAAAGATAAACCCAGCTACAGACAGTCAGGGAGCGCAGCGGGAGGTCACACAATACGGCCTTTGTGCGCAGGCGCCAATCCCGGAGGAGTCGGGGCGAGCGGCTGAGGCCACGCTAACGCACTGGCCAACATCGACAGCGAGACGAGGGAGGGGAGGAGCCCGAGGAGATGGGAGGTTCAGGTGGGTGGAGCCTGGGACGAAAGTCACGTGCCCTGTGTGCGGCTGCTCCGGGCGAGGGCGTGGCGCGCGGACGCAGGCCGGCACTGGCGCAGGCGCAGAGGCGGCTGCGCGGGGGCGCGGGGGGTGCAGCGTGGCCTCGGGTTTGGACAGTGGGCGAGCCTGGGCGAGGCCCGGAGGTGCAGGGCTCCGACCGGAGGCGGCGCTAGCGGCTTCTGGACGCTCCTTCCCATTTCCTTTCCTTTCTCCCGTCTTCTCAGGGTGATTTTCTTGGTGAGTTATTTGAGGAGAAAGAAAGGGAAACTGTAGAAGCCAGTCCGTTAGCATCGCATGCCTTGTCCCCTTCGTCCCTCCCCCTTTCCAGTCCTGGGTTTGTCACCTCAGCTCTCCGTCCGCGCTGCTGTCCGGCCGCTTTTGTCCCCGGCGGCTCGGAACCGGCCGCGCAGCCCCGCGCCCCTGTGCGAGCGCGCCCCCTCCTCCGCATCCACCTGTCGCGCGGTCCTCCCGCCGCCGCCTCGCTGTCCCCGCGCCGCGCCCTCCCTGCTCTCCGCCGGCTCCCTCTGGGTCGGGCCCCTCCTCTTAGGTCTTTCTCCACATGTTCTTGAACTTCCTGTTGTTTAAACGACCAGCCCAAACCAGGAGGAGAAGCCTTTTAAATGGGCCCTTGAATTTTTGCCCACTTCTGGATGTCCCTTTTTGAAAATTGTCTTCTTTCTGAGAAGCAGTTTTATTCGGTTTGAACCATTTGGTCTTCCATAAACCCAACTGTGCACGTATGACAGCTGAAAGGAACTCATGTAGAAGCCTTTGCCGTCTCGAGTCTCTAAAAGACGTTTGGCAGTATGATTTGGGAAGGAAGATAGATGGCTCTGAACCAGCCGTGCAGAGGCCACGCTGCCCGAGGGGGATGAAGATGCAGACAAGAGAACAGCAGTTTCGGTAGTCTCGAAATGCCAGGGTGCTCGGCGGAGGCCTTAAAACAGCAGGGTGGCTTGGTAAATTTTTTAGTTCCTGCTTAAAAGGCTATGCTGAATGTGCAGGTCCTTATGAATTTCTCTAGATAAGAATAAATTTAGTTTTTTGTTATTCAGTTGATCCGATTTTTATTTTTATCCCAGGTGTTTAACAAGCATTTTATTCAGATGAGTGACACTTTGGGGATGAGGCTCTTGTATGCTACTTGGCCCCTTTCCCCTATGAGTATTTTATGTTTTGGAGGATTTTTTGCCTACCATGTATAGAAAAAAATTCTCTTCTCTCTCCATGCTAAGATTTGAACTAAGGACTCAGAATGATAACACTGTTAGCCAGGTGACTAGTCATTGGCCAAAGCTTATAAATTTTCCAGTTAGAGGGAGCACTTTGGTACTATTTTAGCAAATAAAATAGCCAATAAGGGCAATGCGTCATTTCTCCAGTTAGCACCAACTGGCCTAAGCTAGTGTGGAGACTTTTTGATGCGACTGAATACAGTAATTTCACTGATGTCGGTATATTTATTGTGGTTTTAAAAATACCAAACAAATTTTAGAATCTCCTCATTGTAGTATACTTAGTTTACAGTCTTGATGAAGTTGTTAGATCGTTTGGAAAGGAACTTTTTTGTCTTAGCTATTTGTCTGTAATTCTCCTTGCCTTTTGAAAGCATGTTTACGAAGAATATATTTTGAATTTTCATAATTCCCTCAAAATGGCAATGCTATTCAAGGGCATGCCTATGTCCACAGGGAATTAGTATGGGTACACCATTGGAGGTCATGAACTTTTTCTGTAAAGGGCTGGATAATAAGTGTTTTAGGCCTTTGCAGGCCAGATGGTTTCTGTCCAAATTACTCAACTCCACCATTGTAGCTCAAAAGCAGCCAAAGACAACACTAACCAAACGAACAAATGAAGGAGTGAGGTTGTGTTCTGGGGAAGCAATTTACAAAAAGGGTACAGGGCCAGGTTGGGCCTATGGGTTGTAGTTTGCACAGACCCATGATATAAATGGTTACTAAAGATTATTTTAATCTATTTAGATGCATAAAACGTGTATAAGTGGGAATATAAATAAGACAATTAGGAAAATAAACCCTTTATAAAGAGATAGATTCTTTACAATATTTTTCTAAGTTATAGCATTGAAAAGGATTCTTAAAAAGTCTTTTGAATTAAATACTCAAGGCCATTAAGAGGATATCTAACAGCAAAAGACTAACAACAGGAAAGGCTTAGTCAGCTTTGATGCTAAGCTAAAGGCAAAGATGAGTGGCGACTTGCAAAATTATACTTTTGCTTATACAATCCCTGTGATTACAAGATGACACTGTCATGTATGGTCATCCCACCCTCGCCACCTCCTATTTCCAGGGAAGTAGGAGCTGATTGACTAAAGGGCTTGTTGAGGGGATTTTTGCTCCATAGTCAGAAGCAGGAGAGCTTTACCTTTCCCTGGTTAATTTGTGTCCTAGTATATTTACATTTTTTCTTATTACTTATTGGAAAACAATTTATTGCTGTAAAAATGCAGTAATTTTTAAGAATTTTTTAAAACCTCAGAATTTCTTCATGAGATAATGGACTAGATTTAGTCATGCTTCTGAGAAATTTAGAGTTGCATTTATGTATGATGACAAGCATAATCATGTCATAAATACTTTCGGAAGTTCATTGAGCTATACCCAATTCTCATCATGAAGTAATTTTTGAAGTGCTGTGTCTTATGTTTTATTTTGAAAGATATATAATGACGAATATTTTAAATTGGTGACAAATGCTAAATCATTTTGACTAAATAGGATTTTGGTGATTTCCCAGAGGAATTCGAAACTAGGTAGTTTTATAATGGAATTGAGAAATTCTTCAGGACCTTTTTGTAAATAAAAATTGATATAAGTTGAGTGTGATTTTGGTTGATTATCAGTCATCTAGTGGTAAACGTAGGAAAGCATCCCTGTAAATGGGTTGTTCAAAATTAGTATGTATTTCTGGTTTAAAAATGTAACTTGATTAGCATCCATAGGAAATAATTCAAAAGCAATTTAAAAAGTGATTTCTGCACTTTTTCCCCTTGAACTCTTTACTCCATCTTGATCAGCTTGCCACAGTAAAATTCTTAAATTTTGTGTCTTGAGGTCACATGATACTTAAATTAATACTACACGTGGACGTTCTGCTTTTGTTTTTTAAGGTTCTTGCTGTGATACCCATCATTGCCTTTTCCTTTGTCTATTTGAATGACAGGTGTCTTTTATGTCTAAAAAGTATCCATTGGAATTAGTGGGTCAGAAAGCCCCACTATAAGTGATCAGTAGGAAGACTTATTTAAAAATTATTAATGTGTAATGGAGTTGTGTAGATCTTCCATACTCTGAGGAGTTAGGGTAACTAAAATATTTTTGTATAGAACTTGGCTCTACAAAAAATATTTGAGAACATTAATGATACAGTAAAACCTGAGTACTTTATGGCCAAGAGAATTGGTCTCTAAGTACTGTTTTTGTTTTCTGACTCTTGTGTGATTGACTTCCATTTAATTTGAAATATTTTGTCCTTTGGCTGAAGAAAAATTGCCTATTCATGACCACCATACTGAAAAACATTAAAATATAAATAAATAAACATCTAATAACATGGCTTTGAATCATAAAGGAAAGTGATATGTAGTTGGTTCTCACCTTTGACAGGTACCATATTTGTGAATTCTACTCACTCTATTTATAACCCAAAATTAATACTTGTAGCACTTTTGCAGTCATTCATGGACACGGGCACATGGGTGAAAACTGAGTTGCCTGATGTTTGTGTTCCAAGCTGAGGTCAAAGAAGGTGACGCTCTGCCTTCTTGTGTCAGCTCTCAGACTGTATACTATATTCGTTTTTAGTGCCATGTTTTTTGGATTTTTGTGCTTCTAGCTGGTGATTTTACTGTTTAAAATGGCCCCAAACAGAGTGCTGAGGTGCTGCCCAGTTTTCCTATGGCAACAAGGCTATGATGTGCTTTCCAGAGAAAATGCGTGTGTTAGATGAACTTTGTTCAGGCATGAGTTAGAGTGCTGTTGGCTGTGAGTTCAGAGGCAATGAATCAATGAAATGTATGTTAAATAAGATGTCCTTAAATGGAAACACACATAAAACAAGGTTATGTATTGATCAGTTGGCAAAAATGTTGTGACCAGAGGCTCACAGGAACCTAACCCTGTATCTCCCTTAGGAGCTCAGTAGTCACAAATTCAGTATTTGTGGTGACATTATAGAACATAACTACCATGAATAATGAGAATTAACTATATTACCTCCTAAGTAAAAACTCAATTTCCAGATAAAAGTTACATGCTATGGGCATTATTCCATCGTCTCTTTTCTTTTGGTTTGCTTACAGTGGATGTTGAAGCCCTAAAATTAGTTTGTGGCTAAATATTATGAAACAAAATTTAGGGTGTAGCTTAAAATAGAATTCATCTTTGTTTTTCTTTAAAAATGATAATGTTTGTTAAATGTTATAGCACTTAACAACTGCCTTCTAGTTTCAGGAAGATTTTTGTGGTGAAATAATATTGATACAGAATAAATTGAACTGTCATATTTTCTATTTTTAATTCATATAAAACAAAGGAAGGGGGCCAGCCCCGTGGCAGAGTGGTTAGGTTTGCGCACTCCGCTTTGGCCGCCCAGGGTTTCACTGGTTCTGATCCTGGGCGTGAACATGGCACCGCTCATCCGGCCATCCTGAGGTGGCATCCCACATGCTACAACTAGAAGGGCCCACAACTAGAATACACAACTATGTACTGGGGGGATTTGGGGAGACAAAGCAGAAAAAAAAAAAAAAAGAAAATTGGCAGCAGTTGTTAGCTCAGGTGCCAATCTTTAAAAAAAAAAAAAAACAAAGGAAAAGTAAGATTATAAAAGATAAGGTGAAGTTGCCAGGCATAACATTTGTGTTACAGTCTTCTACTTTTAGGGGAGTTGATGTTGAACATTGCAGCAACCAGCCGAAAGTGGAAGAAAAGATCGGTTGAAAGATTTACGGTCCGTAACAACAAACCAGCTACTCAGGTGATAGACAGTTACTGCTAATACGGACATGAGAAGGTTATGCACTGGGAACTAAGAAAGAAGACACTCTGTGATGTTATAAGCAAAAGCCTCTGAATAGGAGGTTAATCAGGCTGCTGTATACAGTGTCCTGAAAATAGCTAGTGTTTAAGTATAGTGCCAGAATACAGTTTAATAAAAGAAATTGCTCATGTGGTTCAAGTGCACAGTCCTCTGGTCCTCAGTTTACTCCAGGGAAAATATTAGACTATGCACACCAAAACGCTTCTTGATTCACAGATGAGTACCACTATTTTCTCTGAAGGGTTAAACAAACCAAACCACAAAGAAAATATGCCTTGCCTTGTACCTAGATATTCTGATTCAATTTATATGTTTTTAGTCTGTTGTCGTTGAGTGACAGTGATTACTATTACTATATATATGAATATTCTTATGTGCCAGCCACTGTGATACATGCTCTGAATTTATTATAAACTCACTTAAATAGCTAAAAGGTAACTGTTTGTGGCAGACACTTTGTTTTTTTTTTTTTTACAGGAGATATTATTACATACAAATCATGTAGTGATCCAGACAGATAAAACAACCTAAAAGAGTAATTAAGACACTCATTTCATAGCTTTAGTCCACTAGTTTTTTCCCCCATCGCTGAACATACAGTTAGATCATGGAAATTTTAGGTGTCGTTGTGAAAGATTTTATATTTTTTGTTATTTGGTTATATTGTCTTTTATATTGCTTGATGGCAGAAATTCCTTCAATACTGTTTAGTAAAATTATTTTCTATGATAAGACACACATGTTGAAAAAAAAGGGTATCGTAATTTTTTATTTATTTTTGACTGGGAAAGATTCACCCTGAGCTAACATCTGCTGCCAATCTTCCTCTCTTTTCCTTTTTCTTTTTTTCCCTCCCCAAAGCCCCAGTACATAGTTGTATATTCTGGTTGTAGGTCCTTTTAGTTCTTCTATGTGAGCCACCGCCACAGCATGGCTACTGACAGACCAGTGGTGTGGTTCCGTGCCCAGGAACCAAACCCAGGCCACTGAAGTGGAGTGTATAGAACTCCAACCACTAGGCAGTCCAGGCTGGCTCTATCTTAGTCTTTTAATAATAGATTTGGGGAAACATGAAAAGGGTCAATTTGTTATTTTTCTGTACTTTAAAAATTTCAGGTGGATATTTAATAATAGACTAGTCTGTGTGTGGAATTTTATGAATCTGTATGCAGTTATGATTAACTTGAATTTTTTTCCATTATAGACTCCACTTTTTGCAAAGATTGACTTTGCCTCGGCATGAACAAACTCTTCATGTAAGATTGGTTCCTGTGTGTCACATGTTTACAAGGCCGTGGGAGCAAAGCACAGTGCATACAAGGTGAAAAGCCAAATAAGGAAATGTGTTCCTTCTCTTGACCATTCCAATTTAACTAGTAAGTTAAATTCAGTGTTGGCTTAAAATGGTTTAAATTTTTAATTACAGAACACAGTTTATGTAGCAGAGATAATCTGAGTAGTAAATGATTGAGAGTTTTCAGAACATATTTAAACATACCATCTAACATTTAATACAGCTCACTTGCATGTTGTTTCTACTACAGAACATGTGGAAAGCCCCACTAGGTGTCTGTGAAGTTACTTTAGTCAATTTAAATGAGCATCGCAGCAGTTATTAAATTGCATTTTACACATGACTAAATATTTGACTTGTCTGGCCTACGTTTGTGTTTTAATGGTGAGTATGTTTCCAAAGGCGGGGGTTTGACCAGGACGGGGAGTTGCAGAGCTTCTTCGGATGCCAGACTAATTTTTTTCTTCTCATCATTAGAAACATTCCTGAGTTTTTTTGCTCTCGCTCTGGAGTCTGGAATTTGAGTTAAGTCTCTCCACTGATGATGTTTATGGGACAGAAACAAAAGTGATGGTCCCATGCAGATAAGGTGATAGACATGTAGCCTTTGACCTTGCTGCTTCTTATCAGTTTTTCTTAACTATTTGCATAATATTATACCTTTCACTTTAGTTTTTTTTAAGACCTTCAATATGAAAAATATGTAAGAATGATTCTTAACAGTATGCATGTGAAAGGCACATAAAGAAAATGTCATACCTTTGTCCTATAGTTTGGGAAGTTAAGCATTTCATGAGCAAATATTTTATTCATGTGAATTCTGTAAATTTATGAGGAATATAATAGTCTAACACGTTCATATTAACTAAAGAGAAATTAAATATAAAGAATATTGTTTAGCTTTTGTGAATTGCAAGTAAATAGCATTCCAACACCAAATAATCCTTATTTATATGGGTTATAAACCATGAAACAATTTTCATTACATGGAAAGGAATGCTAATTTGATTTAATATATTTTTTTAAAAAACATCTATGATGTGGCATTTTCTGAAAAAAGTTTCTATTGCTTAATAGTTACAAATTGTTGAAAGTTTTTATTATTCAGTGTCTTGAGATTTGAAAAGATTGTTAAAAGGATGATATGCAATATATGAGAATTTGAATTTTAAATTTGAATTTAATTATCCCATAAATTTGGTAGATTTTTAAACAGTTTATATACTCTAGGGGCATGGTTATGTTCAATCCTATTGAGATTTTAAGTCTTGAAATTAGTAACCAAATGTCTTTTTTTGTTTTTATGTTTTGAAAAGGGCTAAAGCCAGCTTTTAGATTGGCTTGGGCAGAAAAGTGAAGAGAATGCTCCACTTTAAACGATGTCAGCATCTGAAACAAATAACCCAGAAATGTTTTTCTAGTATACATGTTAAAACGGATAAACACGCACAGCTATTTCTTTCAAGGACCTTTGCACTTGCAGAATTAAGGAAGTCATGGCACTCAACCCACTCTCTTGTTGGAGACAAAAATATTATCCTGATGGGACCGCCTGGTGCTGGGAAAACAACAGTGGGCCGGATAATAGGTCAGAAACTAGGTTGTTGTGTCATAGATGTGGATGATGATATCCTTGAAAAAACCTGGAATATGAGTGTGTCTGAAAAATTACAGGATGTTGGTAATGAGCAGTTTTTAGAAGAGGAAGGAAAAGCTGTGTTAAACTTCTCTGCATCTGGAAGTGTGATTTCCCTTACTGGGTCCAATCCAATGCATGATGCTAGCATGTGGCATCTGAAGAAAAATGGGATAATTGTATACTTGGATGTACCTCTAATAGATATAGTTAGTCGTCTAAAATTAATGAAAATAGATAGGGTTGTAGGACAGAATTCTGGAACATCTATGAAAGATTTACTTAAATTTAGAAAACAGTATTATAAGAAGTGGTATGATACTCGTGTTTTTTGTGAAAGTGGGGCTTCCCCAGAGGAGATAGCTGACAAAGTGCTTAATGCAGTTAAAAGATACCAAGATGTGGACTCAGAAACATTCATTTCAACAAGACATATTTGGCCTAAAGACTGTGAACAGAAGGTTTCAACAAAATTCTTTAGCGAAGCTGTGATTGAGGGGTTAGCTTCTGATGGTGGCCTCTTTGTTCCCGAGAAGGAGTTTCCAAAATTAAACTGTGGGGAGTGGAAAAGCCTAGTAGGAGCAACGTATGTAGAAAGAGCACAAATACTGTTGGAGAAGTGTATACATCCTGCTGACGTACCTGCTGCCAGATTGGGAGAAATGATTGAAGCCGCTTATGGGGAAAACTTTGCCTGCTCAAAAATTGCCCCTGTCAGGCACCTGTCAGGAAACCACTTCATCCTGGAGTTGTTTCATGGACCAACAGGATCGTTTAAAGATCTGTCTCTCCAGCTTATGCCTCATCTTTTCGCACACTGTATTCCACCGAATTGCAATTATATGATACTTGTAGCTACTTCAGGAGACACAGGGAGTGCAGTGTTAAATGGTTTCAGTCGTCTGAATAAGAACGACAAGCAAAGAATAGCTGTGGCCACATTTTTTCCTGAGAACGGAGTAAGTGATTTTCAAAAAGCACAAATAATTGGCAGTCAGAAAGAAAATGGATGGGCAGTGGGTGTCAAATCAGATTTTGATTTTTGCCAGACAGCTATAAAAAGAATTTTTAAAGACCCTGATTTTACTGGCTTTCTTACTGTGGAATATGGAACAGTCTTAAGTTCAGCTAATTCCATAAACTGGGGCCGACTGCTTCCCCAAGTAGTTTATCATGCTTCTGCATATCTTGATCTCGTTAGCCAAGGATTTATTTCTTTTGGAAGCCCAGTCGATGTCTGTATTCCCACAGGAAACTTTGGTAACATTTTAGCAGCAGTGTACGCCAAAATGATGGGAATCCCTATTCGAAAATTTATTTGTGCCTCTAATCAGAATCATGTTTTGACTGATTTTATAAAAACAGGACATTATGATCTAAGGGAAAGAAAGTTAGCACAAACCTTTTCACCGTCAATAGATATTCTCAAATCTTCAAACCTGGAACGGCATTTACACTTGATGGCTAATAAAGATGGACAATTAATGACAAAATTATTTAATCAATTGGAAGAGCAGCATCACTTCCAGATAGAAAAGATTCTAGTGGAGAAACTTCAGCAGGACTTTGTAGCCGACTGGTGCTCTGAGGGAGAGTGCCTCGCAGCTATTCACTCCACCTACAATACTTCAGGGTATATTTTGGATCCACACACTGCTGTTGCAAAAGTAGTTGCAGACAGAATGCAAGACAAAACCTGCCCAGTGATTATCTCATCGACAGCTCATTACTCAAAGTTTGCACCTGCTATCTTGCAGGCTTTAAAGATTAAAGAAATCAACCAGACTTCATCAAGTCAGCTTTACTTACTGAGTTCGTACAATGCGTTACCTCCACCTCATGAGGCTTTATTAGAGAGAACAAAACAGCCAGAGAAGGTGGAGTACCAGGTCTGTGCAGCTGATGTGGATGTCCTAAAAAGTCATGTGGAAAAGCTAATACAAAGTCAATTCATGTAAAACCTTTCTGAGTAAAATATTTTTTTCTGGTGATAAGCATGCAATAATAAATCACAAAAGTTGATCTGGAGTACACTAGCATTCTGCTTTTTATGTAAATATGTCTATATGTAGACCTATTATCTTTTGGAATTTCAGTGCCTAATCTCTAGGACTGAATGTTGTCCCTGCACATGCTTCCTGGATCCTTAATCTAGAAGCGACAAAAAGGAAGCATAGTGCGTGGACCCTGTGCTGTTGTCTTGTGCTTCGCACGCCTGAGGGATGTATCAGTTTCCACTTCCTCGTTCCCACTTTTAAGTGGACCAAAATGTCTGGTATTCAATTTAGCAATTTAAATATTTAAGCACTGTTAAGTACTACATCTGTAACCATTACTAATTCTCTGTTGACTAGAAAGATAATTTACCACTCAAATGACTGACTAGCATGGAGGAAGTAAACTCATCCTTTAAGATAGGGCCAGTGTTTGCAACCCTATTCAAACTCCATTTTGGAGTTATTTTAGAATTAGAGTAAGTTATTATTAGAATTAATTATGTGTATCCTACAATGTCCAGATTAGGTAAGTGTCCTGTCCTTTACTCCCCTTTGAATGTTGATGGTTAGAGTGATGTACTTTGAACATCAAGACACGTGATTTAAGTCCAGGATGTAGTAATCAACAGAACTACTTTGTAGTAGATACAGAAATAAAATGACTTAACTATTTTAAAAGTTTTCCAAAATTCAGAGTGTTTGAATAGTCTTAATAGAAGTATATTTATAGTTAGGTGACAGTTTTCCTACATTGTTTTGAGTCCATTCGTATATAATTTGCCTGTTGTCTGTTGTTTCAATGAATGTTGTCTTTTTGGCAACAGAAACCACACGCAACTGATACATGTTTAATTTTTTAAAAAATTATTGAGGTCATATTGGCTTATAAGTTGTGCAGATTTTAGGTGAGCATTATTATATTTCAGTTTCTGTATAGACTGCATTGTGTTCACCATCAGTGGTCTAGTTTTTATCTGTCACCATACATGTGTGCACATTTAATTTTTATTTCCTGTAGTAACAATGATTTATGTTTGTGAATTTACTGGATGTTTTATTTCTGAGTTAAAGATTGTCACCGAAAGGACCTGTTAGTGTAATGGACTACTCTCAACCACAAGATGGCATTCCTAACATAATGTGTCTTTTCTGATAACATTCTGCTTCATTTTCTGGGGGAACTACTGCCATAAAGAAATATATTAAAAATTGTAAAGAAAAAAATTTAATAATTTAATGAACAGGAGCAATTTGTTTAAAATTTAAAAAATTAAACCAGTTATGTGTTAACGTTGATCTCTGGCTTAACTTCTAAAAAGTAAGTTCTAAATCTAAAAATTGAAAACCAAGAGCAGTTATAAGAAAATAATGGAGAATTCAAAGTTCAGCACTTATTCATGTATGTTTTAGTTATTTTATCTCTTTCTTTTAAGTGTATTTGTTTGGTAGATGACATATTTAGAAAAGACATCTAAATGTTCACTGTGTACATGAGAATGCTCTATTTTTCTGAAAGTGGGAGGGACAGCGTTAAAAAGTACAAGACATGATTTCTGCCCTCAAGAACTGTAGTTAAGGAGAAAACACATAAAAATGAAATCATGTTCAATACAAAAGAGTTATTACAAGAGTCCATGAGTAAGTGAAAAATGAGTGATATAGTTAAGTGCTGTAAGATTTAAAAGATTACAATGGAATAGTCAGAAAAGGTTTCACAGAGGATGTGGAACTGAGGTGAATCTTGAAGGATGGCAAGATTTTCTAGGTGGAAAAGCAAGGGGAATACATTCTAGACAGAGGCAAGGGAAACAGGTATGGTGAAATGCACAAGAGAGCACCTGCGTTGATCTCTGGTCAGTTTGTTCTCTCATTGTCCAAAACTGTTGTTTCATGCCTTCCCTTTTTTTCAAAACCAACTCTGGCTCTTCCCTCTCAGCTAATAACCTGACGTCATGCAGGAGGAACAAGTTAATCAGGTGTGACAAAGCTCAGTTTTCCGTCGCCGTATGTGTAAATCTGCACCTGTTTCTATCTGTCCTGCTCCCTTTTGATTGAATCAAGCGGTATTCCTCCTCTTGTCACAGCCCAACCTCTTCAGTGTGCCTTGGATGCTAGTCCCTTCAGAGTACTCAAATAACTTGCTTCATCAGTGTTCTCCTCTGCTGTTTCTTCAACTTCTCCCCTCTGATGGGTCCTTTCTATGCCATTCAGATGCTCTCTTTTCATATCTTAAACAGTGTAAAACAAAAATCTCTTTGAACATGCACATTTTTTCCCATCTACTCTTTGATTTCTTTATGCTCCAAGCAAGATCAAGCCTCTTCAAATGGCGTTGTCTACATGTATGGCCTCCACTTTCTTGTCTCATCTTCTCTGTAGTGTGTAAAGTATGTCTACGGTTTAAGGATGAGTAATAAATACGCACGGACTCACCATCTTGTTTTAAGAGTAGAACGTTACTCATACCTTTGATGCCCACTGTGGCTCCTCTTTGGTGAAGATCACGTCTCTCCCCTAAAGGTTACCACTCTCCTCAATTTTCTGTTCATCATTCTCATTTGTATTTATAGTTCTGCACTGTTTAGTTTTTCTCCTTTTTGAATTTTTTGTAAATGGAATCATGGTGAATGCTTGCTTCCATGACCTTCTATTGCTCAAAAACTTTAAAATTTATCCTTGCAGATGAGTAAGCCACAGTTGATAAATTTTTATTTCTGTATAATATTCTGTATAAATACCACAGTCTATCCATTTATCAGTTAGTGGACATTTAAGTTTTTATTCTTGTATCCAGTAGGTATACTGTTTTGTAAAATTTGTATTGAAGGCTAGTAAATATGGACCTCCAATCATTTGTGATTCTTTCTAATTATATGTAAAAATAGATTTCATATCTTGGCATTATTAAAATAATTTATGGTATATGAAATGAAAAGTTGTTATCAGTTTTCAGGCTATGGTTATAATTTGTAGCTTTCACTATTTAAAATTATTTTACAATGTCATAAACATTGTGAATTTGTAAGATTTTTGAGAAAAAAAGATTTTTAAATTACATATTAATATCAAAATTTATTTCCATCAAAATTGAATTTAGAAGGCAATGAGTTGCTTCATATGAGGTTTTTGTTAGATTTTAATAGCAGTTCACTTTCAACAACAATCATTTATGGCAAATACTGTTTCTCTCAATCCATTAAATCATTTATAAACATTTTATAATTCAGACTACTCAGTGTTAGTAAAAAAAAAAAAAGGTAGCTGTTTTCATGTGAACCTCAAAACTGTGGTTACATAAATAATACAGTTTTTGTCCCATCCAAGAAACATGAATAAAATCTGTGTATGAAATAGTTGTTTGCGTGGGTCCTATCTGTGCACTTTAACCACTAAAATCATTAGTTTTCTCTCTTTGAAACTTTAAAAACAAATAGGCTCCTTCAAAGTCAAAGAATAAGCTCCACTGATTTAAAAGGCAAAGCCAAGAAAGTGTCCACTGTCATGGAAAAGAGACCATCAAAGACCACAACCAAATCAGCATAATGTAGCAATACTCTAACCCAGACCAGAGCCCTGCATCAAAAAGTTGTTTGCATCCTGTAGAAGAGTACATTAGTCACTTTAGCTATCTTTCTTTTTATCTCTTCTTGAGTTCTCACGACTGTCTCCATCTAACCGGTAATAACAATTGTCTTGGGAAGTCAGGGCACTGAAGTTACATGTGCTGATGTGGCTCTACCTGTTAGGTTATCGTCAGAGACGTTACTGAGATTTTAGTGGGCTGTAAAATGCGGAGTTGCTAATAGCAGGTTACATTTCATTTACAAATATTAGGAAAGTTTATAACTTTACCTAAATCCATAATGGATTGTTTTAAATAAATTCTCATATTTGGTGAATGAGTCCTAAAATTAGTCAATACCATCCCATAGTAAACTTAATGGTATCTTTGTGAGGTTTTTTTAAACAAATATTTTATTTCCATGTTTCAAAATGGAAACTTTGAGGTAGATATTCCAGAGCTCATGAGAAATGCTGACACAAGAAAAAAGCCTCCAGGAATAGTTAAAAGAAGTAAAAAAAAAAAAAAAAATCTTGGCACTCATGGCACAAATATTAACACACTAATTTTTAATCACTCAATTTCATTTCAGATTAAACTAGGCTCGTATTCATGGTGACATTAAAATTTAATTTATAGCTATATGCCCACCAATAGGTTTTCTTTTGAAGCTATGTAAAAAACATTGTTTTGGGTATAGTTGCAGACCGTGTTATAGTGTGTTATTTTCTTTAAAATTAGAGAACTGGGGCCTGCCCTGTGGCCGAGTGGTTAAATTCGCGCGCTCCGCTATGGCAGCCCAGGGTTTCGCTGGTTTGGATCCTGGGCAGGGACATGGCACCACTCATCAGGCCACGTTGAGGTGGCGTCCCATATGCCACAACTAGGACCCACAACTAAAATATAGAACTATGTACTGGGGGGGAGGGCAGGTTTGGGGAGAAAAAGCAGAAAGGAAAGAAAAAAGATTGGCAACAGTTGTTAGCTCAGGTGCCAATCTTTAAGAAAAAAAGAAAAATTAGAAAACATGTTTTCAAAATGTCTCGTTTGCAGCACTCATTATCTTACGTTCTCATTGAATAGATAGCATTTTGGAAAAAAACTTCTTGTGTAAGATTTCAAGATTTTATTTTACTTTTAGTTCTTTGGGGAAAGAACTTGAATATTCTCACATATTACCTAAGATATTTGTTCTTTGGTCAAATAAAATGGAGACTCATCTAGTAGGACCTGAAATTAATATAAGGTTTCATTTTGATTTGGGTTCTGAAAAAAATTATTTGTCAAGGACATTTTTTTCCTTCAAAAGTTTCAAAATTGGATTGACGTTTCTTTAATTTTAGTTGGTGCCAGTCTCTGTTAAAATAACATTGACTTATAAACATTGATAAGTTGCATAATATTTAAAAATAGGGTTTATAGAATTACTAATTGTGGAGAGAAAGGGGTAAATAAGCTGTCCTTGGACTCAGAAGTGGAGGTATATGGTGGGGTGGGATTAGCTGGCAAGAAGAAGTTTTTGTTCTCCATAGGCTGTGGAGGTTATCAGTATTGATCTGTGAACTCTTCAAAAGAGGGGAATTGTCTTTGAATTTCTACTGTAGTAAACACAATGTAGTGATTACTAAATGTTTACTGAAGGATTTCGTTTCTTGCTCTAATTTGGTCTTTTCTGGACAAATGACTACTTTTACTTTAGTTTCTCTGTGTGCAGTACATGGATAACAATTTGCCCCACTCTTTGGAGAACAATTATAATCCTCGGAATCAGTAAATAACTAAGCCCTCTTTGGAATTAAATTGCTATATAAATAATTGCTATATAAATTGTACTGTTCTATGGTGACTTGGGAATTAATTCCTCAACTGGGAGTATATGCCCTTGATCAGAAATGCTGGGCTACCGAATTTAATGCAAACAGTGGTCTAATACATTCAGAAGGCAGGTGGTTTATTCCCAGGGCAGTAGATTTCAAATCATAATGCACATTAGAATCAACTTGAGTGCTTGTTAAAAATACTGATTCTCTGTATTCATCCTCAGGCTCTGGTCCGTTAAGTCAGGAGTGAGGCCTAGAAACTTGTATTTTTTAAAATTATTTTTATGCTGAAATGCATGTAAATTAACCATGTTAGCCATGTGTACAGTTCAGTAGCATTAAGTATACTCACATTGTTGTGCACCCGATCTCTAGAATTCTTCGTCTTGCAACACTGAAACTCTATACCCATTAGCAGCTCATTTCCCGCTCCTGCTAGCCTCTGGCAACCACCATTCTACTGTCTGTTCCTATGAGTTTGGCTACTCAACATACCTCACATAAGTGGAATCATACAGTATTTATCTTTTTGTAACTGGCTTATTTCAGTTAGCATAAGGTCCCCAAGTTTCCATCCATGTTGTACTACATTTTTCTTATCCATTCATCCATCAATGGTCATTTAAGTTGCCTCCACATTTTGGCTATTATAAATAATGCTGCTATAAATATGGGTGTACAAATATCTAAGACTCTACTTTCAATTCTTTTGAAGATATGCCCAGAAGTGGAGTTGCTGGATCATATCATAATTCTATTTTTAATTTTTTGAGGAACTGCCATACTGTTTTTCCATAGCAGCTGCACTGTTTTATATTTTCACCAATGGAAATGTGCATTGTTTTTAAATTGTTTTAAAAAGCAAAGTTATACATATACCTAGTTTTAAAAGTCACAGTTTTAAAAAGCTAAAATGAAGCAGCTGTCCCCTGTATGTACTCGTTCCCATACCCACTCCCCAGTGGTAACCACTTTTATATCAGCTGTTTGCTCTGATGTTTTTCCTTTATATTTCTCGGTAACATGTTTAACTGCTACTTTGAGTTTTAGCTTTAGCTATTATGTATGGACATTCTTGTATGAAAGATTAATATTTAGCTCTCCTACTCCCCCTGTCCTGCTCCACTACCCACTCATTTCCTTACCTTCCATCCTCCCAATATAGATACCTTATCATTTTGGATTAGATCAGTATTAGTATTATTATGACTCTATAAATATTATCCACAGCTGAGTTACATTGTATATTATAAATTTTGCTTTTGTTCTATTTTTGGAGTATTTATGGTATTTATTCCATTTGCTTAGCTTTCTATATATTTAACAAATTCATCTCCAAACTTTCTGCCGGCCGCACAAAGGTCAATGATTATAAATGGATTAAGTAATCTAGAAATTTTATCTTTTTCTTGAAGAGTTCCCTTTTGGAGCCCTCTGTCCTCCTGTTCCAATGAAGATTGGTTGATCTCTAAAGCTGCTGCACAACTATTGACCGTGGATCTCTAGTCATCTTTCCTTTCTATGCACATCCTCCTTTCATCTTCCTCCTGAGTTGGATCCAATTTCTTCCTCTTTCTTGATTTGTTCCCTAATTTCAATAGAATTCATCTTCCAGGAGTTTCCTGAGGTTGTATGCATTTTGAATTTGAATTCTTTCAGAAATTGCTTGTCTAACAACATCTTTATTCCATCTCAAACTAGATTACTAGTTTCCTGGGTATAGAATTCTAGCTTGCAAGGCATTTTTTTTTCCTCAGAAGTTTGAAGCTATCATTTCACCATCTTCTAGGTTCTATTTTTACTTTTGATGTCTACTATTATTCCAATTCTTAATTTTTTAAAATGTAGCCTATTTTTTCTCTTCTTTAGAAGCTTTTAGGATTTTCTTTTTATGGTCAGGATTCTAACATTCATGACAATGTTTATTAGTATGGGTCTTTTTGCTTGTTTGTTGTTTTGCTGTTAGAGCTCTTTGGCGAAACTTCTCAATCTGAAAATTCATGTTCTTCAGTTCTGATCATTTAAAATTTATTTATTTTCCAGCTTCCTACTTCTCTGTCATTGTTTCTGTTCTTTCTTCCTCAAATTCCTGTTTTGGGGGTTTTGGATATCCTGAAGTGTTCTTATACGGTGTGAGAGATTGACTCTAAAGATAGTGGCCAACAATTTCTTCCAACCCTTTATTCACATACTGAACCTCACATCAACAGGTGAAGTCTATTATCTTTCTCATTGAATCTGAGCTTCTTATGACTTGGTTTGACCAATAGAAAGTGGCAGAAGTGATATCTGAGAGACCTAAGCCCAGGCCGTAAGGGGACTGGACACTCCCATTTCCTTTGTCTTCTGTAAGGAAGCTTGGAGTAGATTATTCAACAGTGAGAGGTAGTGTGGTTAGAGGCTTTGGAGGATGAGAGGACATCATGGACTACAGAGCCACGGACAAGTTCCTAGGTGAGTGTAGCTATGTGATTGCCCTAAGCAGAAGAGCTGAAGACCCACTATGCTGAGCCTAGTCAACCAGAATTATGAGAAATAATAAATTCTTTTAATCCACTAAGTTTCAGGGTGATTTGTTATGGAATAATAAAACAACTGAAACACCCTCTGATTCTCTCATATCTTTTTTCCCATTTCCCATTTCATTTCCATTCTTTGAATTTAGTCTCTCATTCTTTTTTTAGGAGGGTTCCACTTTCTGGTTTTATTTCTCTTTTAATCCTTCTATTGAAAGTTTAATTTCCATTATCATGTTTTTAATATCCAAAATCTCTTTTTGGTCCTCTGAAAATTTTCAATAGTTTTCTATTCTTGTTTCATGGATGTAAAAATCTTATGTCTTTAAGGGATTTAATTATGTTAAAAAATTATTTTGAAATCTGTTTCTTCTGAAGTCTACTTTTTGTTTGTTTTGGTTTCTGTCTTTTTTATTGATATATTTCTTAAGTGTTTGGTGATCCTCCTCTCTCAT